CACACACACACACACACACACACACACACACACACACACACAAACACACACAGTTGAAGGAACAAACAAATAATCCAAGCACCTTAGGCCGTGCAAGACCAAATAATACGAAACAAAAGTTCTATGAGAAACTTACCCAGGTTCCTTTTGAGAGATATGTGCCTAGTGACAAAAAATAAAAATACAATTGCAAAGGAATTCAAAATGGATATTTTAATTAAGCTCTGTGGAATTGCTTAAATAACTTATTTTAAGTCACTAAATCAAACATCTGTTTTTTTATTATTATTACAGAGGATGGTGTTTTTGGCTTACTTGGAGGAGCTGGTAATCCTGGGGGACCCGTGTCCCCCTTTTCTCCTTTTGGTCCTTGCTGGCAGTAACCTTGGATTTAAAATAACACGATTAACAGTATTCCTTACCTTTGACCAATTATAACTTGGGCTTAGTTTATTTAACTAAAGTTATACCTTTAGATGTAAAATTCTTAAAAATTTATAACTTCTAAAACAGCAACTTTAAAAGTGATCTAACTCACCTGTTGCAATTGTTCCTCCAGAGTTGGGCTGAAACATTGAAACAAAATGATTAATAGCCAACAGCAATAAATTACCAAGAGGTTTCATGAATAGTTAGACTCATGCAATCTGTCACGTTGAAACTTCAAGCAACATGCAAACGCACACGCATGCAAATGATCTAACTACGCTATTTTATTTCTACCTCAGTTATTTCTTTGCACTGGGCCTTCACCATCCCAGGGATGGCATGCATCATGCAGGAATATTTTGCAATCRCCTTCTGAGCAATCAAAATTAAGGTGACATTACTCTTACACAGAATAACATGCCTGTCATGTGAGGGGGAAAAYGTGAAAGAGGGCAGGTGAGTGAGTTTTTTATGAWAAATATAATTCTGATAGGTATTGAGACCAAACGAGGCTGTTAGTTTGTCCATTGGACACTGCGGTAGTAAGCTGTGACCAGATAATCAGTCCTCTGATTCAGTTTAACCCGTGTATCATGCTGTTTTTGTAGTGCATAGTTTTCTTTTCTTTTTTAACCTACGGGCAGTTTGCAGTGGGGTCTGGGAGGGATGGGGAACACTGTCTTCAAACACCAAAAGAAGACAGAGTATGGTAAGAAATACAAAACACAACAGAAAAAAACAAGAATAACTGGGGTGGAAAATTAATAAAGCTATGTTTACTCCTTTGGGGCAGTTGAAAACTCCTGGGCGACCTGGGGGTCCRGGAGGTCCAGGAGGTCCCTAAAAAAATAATGAAGAAAATGTCAAAACAGGAATTAAAAGGTTGGGGAGGGCTATTGAATCTATTTAAAGTACACAAAACAACAGAAGAAAAATATTCTGCAAAAGGAACACTGTTATTAGGAAACAAGTCAGAACTGCAGTATTTCGGATGCAACTCCAGTCTTCAGGAGTGTAACTCACTGGACGGCCTTGAGGGTCCCCTTTCTCTCCTTTAGGTCCTATCAGACCCGAAYGGCCCTAAACAGAGAGAGAAACTTGAGCTACAAAGCACATAAACTAAATTACAAACTGATTTGAATCCAATTGTTCCCCTTCTAGATTTTTGAAGCTGAGAGCTTACTGAGTAAACAATAAAACATACAACCGAGTTAACGACCAAAGATTATCACATGATGCTTTAAATGTTTATTAAGCTCAACATGCTTACGGGTCGTCCAGGGATGCCAATTTCTCCTTTGATTCCTGGTGGTCCAATTGGTCCCTGTTTGGATTAAAGCATCGATCATATTTCATTTGATGATGTTTGAAATTATATGTTTGCTTCTCACTCTGAATCCTTACTGTAATTCCAGGTGGTCCGGTAACACCCCTATCTCCCTGCCAACAATAATAGAAATGTTGTGATGGGAGTTACGGGTTCTTACTGATCAGTACTTTACAAACATCAGTCATCTTGATTAATAAACCTAAAATGACGGGAAATAGGCTGAAATGTAAAAGCACTGGCAGGAAATATTACCTTAATTCCTTTGGGCATGGTGGACCCAGCCATGTCAAACATTAAGGAACCATCTGCTGCGATGACAGAAGCTGGCTCACCCTTTTCACCCTGCATGCAAACATGACTTTACCATATGGAAAGAGAAGAAAAAAAAACTGCACGCATGTACACACAAATAAATAAAATAAAATTAAGTTTATTTTCTCAGTTTTATGAGGATGAATTCTGTATGCTAGTACTCGTAACCCACTTACTTTCAGTCCTTGAGGTCCTTGTAAACCTGGCAACCCGATGTCCCCCTTTGGACCCTGTGGTCCCTATAAACATGTTGTAAACAAACCGTTAAAATACCATCAAATCTAAATGCTGGTAAATACCATGTCAGATGCATTTCATATTTTGAAACAGGCAGCGACACAGTGCATGAACTAAAAGGGTTGATTTTGAAACCAGTAAACATTTTTTTTCCTAAACTAAAATTTGGTCAATAATGAACTGTTTTCATTTACTACTCACAGCAAATCCCTGAGCTTCAAATATCCCTGAGAAGTTGAAAGCACCATCTGTACTATTAAGCAGCATCTGAGAAGATAAGAGGGAAACTCTGTCAGCAAAACATATTGGCAACTGTGGCAGAGCARTTAGGGGAGTCGTTCTGTAACTGGTGTGTTGCCGGTTTGATACTCATCTCAGTCGCTGTGTTCTTGGGCAAGGTGTGAATATGTGTATGAATGGGTGAATGACTGCAGTGTGAAGCCCTTTGAAGTGTGTAGAGACTTGATAAAGTGCTATACAAGTTCAGTCCATTTACCACTATTGGGGTGGTGGTAGACTGTTTGTATTAAAAAATATAAAAACAATTTCATCCTTTAACAGGCTTGTCAAAAGCAAAGCAAAGGGTCCATAAACCACCTTAAGTGTAAAGCCACTTACATCCCGAAGGTTGGTAACAGGACCCGGTGGTCCAGGTGGTCCTGGAAGACCAGGCAGACTGAGCCCATCTCGTCCGGCTTGTCCCTGTAAAAAGACTTAACAGTTTAGGATTTCCTTTTATGTATTTAATAAATTAATTGCACAGTAAATAGAAACACAGAAACTCTTTCTGAAAGGATTTTACCTTTTGTCCTGGATCACCTTTGTCCCCTTTTTGACCCTGTCAGTGTAAAGAGAAACCCAATCATGCTCCTTTTCTAATTTGATATGTTGTAAGATGACATTTTCTGACCTCCCCCTTCAGTTTTTTCTGCTATATTTTGAGGTGATATTTGTTTTTTTTAACACACCGTGTTGCATTTAAGGTCACCCATGTATGTTTGAACAATTTATTTTGCTGTATACACAATAGTTTGACATTTATTTCTTTTAATTAAATAACTTTTTAAAATCATTTATGCATAAAAACATCTAATTTCCCAGTTGGGCTATGTTCCTGCAACCTTTGGAGTGGGAAGAATTGATCCTCAGAAACAAAGAAATAGAATCAGAAAGCCTAAAATTTTAAGCTAAATCATCTTGGAAATATGTCTAAACTCTATTTAGCCTCCCTCCGATAATTTGGTTGAAGAAGATTGGAGTGGATTAGTTGAGACTCAGGAAACAAGAAAGAAATCAGAGGTTTTGTGCTCACTCCTTTATAGAGGCTGCTCCTGCTGCTCTTTTTTTYCCAAGGGAATGCTGATGTTCTTGTTATAAAAGCTTAAATACTGACCCAGTTTTTCAAGAAACTGAATAAATGTTTCGTTACATTACACAGATGAATATATAATAATAATTATAATAAAAAACCACTAGATATTTTGAGGACATCAGTCATGTGGCAAATAAAAAATACCATATAAATGTTCTCATTGCACATACAGTATATCTCCCTTTTTTCAATACAGGTTTTTATGTCTTTATACCTCTAATGTTTTTTTTTTCTTGAGAAGCATCTATCATTTTCATTATTTAGCAGCCAGTTTTCAAACTCATGTTACAGTCTGGATCCTGAAAATTACTGACCTCTGCTCCTTTTAGTCCTTCAAACCCAGGAATCCCTGGTGGTCCTCTAACACCTGGCTCCCCCTGCAGAAATCATGAGAAAACACTGAAGCAGCTCTGATAGGACATCTTTCAAAACAAAACTTACATACAGTATTTGGAACAGTGCACTGCTGTGGATTGTGCTCGGTCTTTCACCTGGTTTAAACTTCAACAAAACGTAAGACATCCAATCTCATTGATGTGGTTGTTAGACTTTCTTTTGGACGTTTTATTCTCCAAGAGAAACTGCAGGCGAGAAGCCCGTCATAAGCCCTCCCACTGGCCTCCGGCTGCAGTATAACTAAGTCAATTGCAAAATGAAACAACTATACCTCGAGAACACAGTTGGTAGAGCTGGATGAAGAAGAGCYGGTTGAATCCGATTTTATGCTAAAAGGGCTTGCCACACTGGTTATTCTGTTACCAATGTTGACAAAGGACTATTTTGTGTATTGGTCACAAAGAGACCACCACAGTCGGCATAAGAAGATCTTCCTTCACTGCCTGTGGGAGGCGCACTCCCTCTTGGTCAGCACAGCTGGGACACCTGTGTCTCCTCGATGTCTCCTTTCACGAGTTCTTTGACTATCTTCATAAGTGTTATGTTAACACTTTTTTTTTTTTTTTTTTTTTTTTTTTTATGTTAACACTTTTCTGAGTTTTGCTGGAGCAGTTGTAAAGATTTCTTAACAGCTTCGGTCAGCAGATCCTGACCAGAGAAGCTGAACAAGATCACTGTCACCCACATTTCTACATAAACACAACCACTGAGTTCGGACCGATCAGGCAGTCGTTGGCGCATTCGAGACAATAGATCTGCCTGGGTGTCATGCACAGGAACCCACCCCCCACCCCACCCCGCAAATTTCATCGCACAGCCATCAGCAAGGCACAATTTCAGCACTTAAACCAGAGTTTTGTGACATTTAATCTAGTCTGATCTGTATCTAAACCAAAGTGACGTAAAAAGTGAGCAGTTGAAAGCAAAAACTCCCTGCCACTGTGAGGCCATTTCATGACCTAATGTCCGGAGACTGTTTAGAAAATGTATTTGTACTGAGATTACTTATCTTTATTATCTATAGAAGAACCGTGGATAGAAATGATAGCAGAAGATTAAAGACTCACCTTTTGGCCCGGTGGTCCTGGGATGCCATCTAAACCAYCTTTACCCTAAGAAAGACATGACAGAGAAAAAGAAAGAAAGAAAACTTTACAGCTTTAACCTCAGGAATTTGCAACCTATTTCCAAATAAACCCTGTGGGGTTCAGATAATAGAAGATAAATCCCAAAAAATATCATAACACAAGTGCAAAAAACCATCAACACAAACAGAAATGCTTAACCTTGGGTCCTTGAGGTCCACGGATTCCTGGAGGGCCCTATAAAAACAAACCAGTTTAACATCTCAAGTGACAAATGTGTATGTGTGTGGCTTCATTTAATACATTTTGATAATATCAAGTTTTACCTGTGGAATAGGGATRGACTCAAAATCACCTAGCATCCCAGATCCTTCCAGGTCCTCAAGAAAAAAAGAAAAGAAAAAGTCCAGTTTAGCAATGGTAAGTTTAAAATGTTAATGTTTGAAAATAATTTAAAAAAGATGAAGACAAATAAATAAAAAAAAAGTTGTTGTTTTTGTTTGTTTAGGACATATTTTAGGTAAAACAAAACAAAACAAAACAATTGTTTCTCCAAAAATTAGAAAATTTCAATTAGTGATAATTTAATGTAACTAAGTTAAATGTGCTAAAACCAAGCTGCTCTGTTTCATTACTGAAATAATAATACTTATGCAGGGCCTTAGGTGCTCAACATACCACACATTTTGAGCCATAGAACTCAKAAATGTTGCAACAAAACACAGTCTACCTCAAATGTCCTGTCAAAGCCTCTTCCTACAGGTCCTGGTGGCCCAGGAGGTCCAGGTAGACCTCTTGGACCAGGCTGTCCCTCGGGACCAGGTGAACCTGGCAGGCCTGGAAACCCTGGTGGGCCCAGATCTCCCTAAATGAGACAAAGTCAGTGTGTTAAGTTCTCTTCAGGTTGCATGTATGCTGGCTGTAAAAAGCATAACGTCAAGATCCACAGGGACAAATTAGGAGGTATTGCATAAAAACCACATTGGATACAATGCAGAGTAAAACGCAAACATAATTATCATTGTTAATACTGGTAATGGTCCATTATCCTTTCAAACAAGCAGTAAATAGAACGTACCTTTGGTCCTGGCTGCCCACTCACACCAGGCTCCCCCTATTAACAAGCCAGTGAATTATAATGAAACAAATTAGCTGCATTGTTGACTTGAGACAGACTCTTGGTTCTGGTTTGTATTAAAAAGCGGAGCAGAACAGACTTGTTTACACTCGAGCCTCTTGGCTTTGTTAGTCCGCCTCATTAAGAGCTTTAGGGTTTTTTTGTGTTAGTTTGTTTTTAATTGTTTTTCGCTAACAGAGCGCTTGGAGGGCTGAATACTGGAAGGCAGGGAGAGCTTCTACAAAAGACAGCATGCTAAAAATCTCACAAGCAAAAGCCAAGTCAAAGCTGCTATACGATGTATTTATATGTATTTAAATAAGAGCCATAAGTCAGATTGTTTTTTTTTTTCCATCAGCTAATGCCACAACTAATGGCACAGCTGTGAATGTGGCTGTTCTTTTCTGCATTTCCTGGTAAAGACAGAATTTAAAAAAAAAATGGTAGGATTTGAAAAAAAAAGTCTCTTGAAGCATTTGCTGTCAGGTATTCAGAATTCAAGAGATATACAGTATATATAGTCAGTAATAGTGCACAGTAAGAGAGCACAAAGACTAATTTTAGCCTCACCTTGTCTCCTTTTTCCCCAGCAGGTCCTGGATCTCCATCCCCTCCATCTACTCCCTGAAAAAGTGGCGAGACCATATTTGATTTCATAACATATGAAAGGCAGCCAACAGAAAACGCGAGCTCCTAGAAAAACTTTTATGAAAAAACGTTTTCGATAACGCTAAATTGCTACAATCTGAAGAAGAAGATGAATATTTTATGAACCAAAACGGCTGTAATTTCCGTCAACCTGTAATTGGTCCATTTACACAGCTCGTAAAAGCTTTTAGAAATCTATTAACAAGAAAGATGCATTTTCCACAACTAACGGTACAGCTGCGAACGTGGTTGTTCTTTTCTGCATTTCCTGGTAAAGACTGAGTAAAAGAAAAATGGCAGGATTTGAAAAAAAAAAAAGTTCTTGAAGAATTTGCTGTCAGGTGTTCAGATTTCAAGAGGAATGTAAGTGTTTTAATTCCAATTAAAATGGGACCATTTCTCAAACTTCTTTCCTCAGCTACATGTACTTTGAGAGAATGGTGAACTCACAGGAAGTCCTGGTTCACCCTTCTTGCCGTCCTTCCCATCTTTTCCAGGAGCCCCAGGAGGTCCTAGAGCAACGTCTGCAGATGGGGTTCCTGGGGGTCCAGGCAGTCCTGGCGGGCCTGGAGGACCCGGGGGTCCCTGATTGCACAAATCATKGAGAATCATGCTAGAAAATAGTCTGTCAATGCTTTTTTAAGTTAATTTTGCATGTACCGGTATTAAAGCAACCCAAAAAAAGCCAACAGATAACCTTACTTACCCTGATAATTTCTGCATCATTGTCGAAGTCTTCRAATCCAGACCCCTCCAGCTGGAATCATCCACATAAACACTTGGTTAACTTGGTTCACTTGGTTAAATTCAGGCCCTCACTATTTCACATTATGGTTTTATCGCTCTATGTCGTAAATGCTTCAATTCTTTAGAAAAAAAATGAATGAAGTTTGTGTAATAACTGACCAGGGCCACAGAGGACTTGTTAGGAGGACCAGGAGGGCCAGGAGGGCCAGGAGGACCAGGTCGTCCAACACCAGGATCACCCTGATAAAGAAAGATATTTTTTTACAGATTTAGTTTGTACAGCAGGGTTTAGCTTCTGGCTGAGGAACCCACTTTCAAACCCACAAAGAGTGTTACAAAATATGTAAAGAAATGTCAACTTTTGGAAATAAATAAATAAAATTCTCACTTACGTTCACTATTAAATAGTTATCATGTTTGTTTAGCATAAGAGTTTTATCATTCCCACTTAAAAACAACTTTTCAACAAAGCATTGACGATAAGAACAAAACACAAGACAAACGTCTCTTAAGCTCTCTTTAAAATATTTCAGTATTGTATTATACATTATATTTCAAAATCTTTGAATAACAGATTTAATTTTATGATGACGGATTTAAAATAAGGTTTATTTTATTTGTGTTTTTGCCTTTTTTTCCTTATCTTTCCTCCAGCTTTCTGAGGACCCCCTAGTGGCCCCCACTTAGAAAAACACTGTCTTAGAGAAACATTAAGGTTAACTTAATGTATCAATATGATTTTGATTTCCATTTTTACTCTTTACCTTTTCTCCCTTAGGACCAGGTTCTCCTTGTTCTCCAGGGAATCCTGTAGGTCCCTGGGGAAAAGGTCACAGCCACGCTCAGTAAAAGCACGAACCAGTAAAAGTATGTAGATAAGCTCAGCGTGTACGCCTTGGGCAGAACATGACGTGTCACTTTCTGAAGTGGTTTCTGTCTTACAGAAGTTCAAATCATTTGATCAAAGACTCTGGAAATGAGACCAAGAGGAAGAAAGAGCAAAGACAGTAGAAAAGTTGTACTTACTGGGGAACCAAGTTCACCTTTACTTCCCTGAGGAACAGATAAAAATAGAAAGCCAATCCATCATTGTATTCTCTGCCGCTTCAGCTTTATAAACAACAGAAAACTGCTCTAAAAAAAGCTCATGTTCTGAAAACAGAATGCCAAAACAGCTAAAAATATAAGAATCACGGCTGCAAACCTAATAAACAAGCAGCTCAAAACTCACAGGTTGTCCAGGTGTTCCAGGACGTCCAGGGACCCCCTGGTATCCTTGTGCTCCCTGAGGACCTTTCGGTCCAGGTTCCCCTCTTGCATCTGAGGCTTTTCCTGGAGAGCCAGGGGCTCCTGGGGGGCCAGCTGGRCCTGGTTCTCCTCGTTCACCTTTTTGTCCTCCAATGACCTGTAGCGAGTAGAAGTTGATTTAATCTTTTATCCACACGAACAAAACTGTTTCAGACAAAGCTTTTGGTTGAGCAACACTTCAGTTAGCTGAACAATAAAAAAGCTTTTGGGGGGGAAAAAAACCCAACATAATGTCAGCACCACAGTTTACTTTATGGACTATTTATGAAACCAGAAGTTTAAAAGCTCATGTTAACTGGGACACTGTTACACTGCTGGCTTTTGGCTGCAAGTCTGATGCTGAACAACTACACAGAAGTAGATTTTGCAGTGCTTAACCTACAAAACATGAGATGTACAATATGAGGTGATCAACAGCCAACTCACAGAGTCAGGCTCGAAGGCGGGGGCTCTTGTTGGAAATGATCTCACTGTGAAGGAGACAGAAAATGTGCACATTAAAAATGTTAAATTTTAGTCATGGGGAAAGAAAATAATTTTTTTTTTTTTAGCACTATGAGACTGTAATGAGTAAAACATACTGGAATGAGAAAAAATGTCCGATTTAGGCAGTTGCAAACCGAGAAACAAGAAGAGGGTGTTTTGATCACCACCTGCTGGCTAATAAATGAATTACAGCTTTTCCTCTAGAAAATAATCAGTTTCATCAATCATGGCCCTTGAGGGCTATTGTTCTGTATATTTTAAAAGTTTATCTGTTCCAACACACCTAATTTGAATGAATGGGTGATTAAAAGGCAATTTTAGAACTTATTAAGGTATTTCAGTCATCAAATCAGGTATTGGAGCAGCAGGGGAAACATGAAGGATAGAGCAGTGGTTCCCAATTTTCCTTAAAGCCACTCTAACTTCCAAGCCAAGCTATGCTTCAACCCACCCCAACCGCCTTACCCCCCATATCTTTATTTAAACAATAAAATAATAATGTGAATAGTTATAATGTACATGCAATTGTCAAAAACAAACAAACAAAAAAAAACTTAATAATCTCACAACCTCTGATAAGACAAGGTTATGTGACCCCCTATGCTCTCTGGTGCTCCTAGGGCAGCCCCCCCACCCCCACCCCCAGCTTGGGAACCACTGTAATAGAGGGTCTCCAGGACTAGGACACCCCTGCTTTCATGTTAATTCACCAATTCAACAAAATGAAAATGTATAAATTATTTTCAGTCAAGTTTAATTTTCTATGAACTGAAATTCATTTCTAAACCTTTGTTTATGGTCGTCTCAAAGTCTTGTCCAGAGGACTCCTCCATGTCTTCATCATCACTGAGTGGCACCTCAGTAGGCGGAGCTCGAACCGGGCCACTGTATGTGGGGTCCAGCTCTGGGAGGGGCTATAAATAAAAAGGACAGCATAGAGACACACAGATTAAAGAGGAGTGTTTAATCAGTGCGTTATCTTCCAAAATCTGATTTAAAATTGCAGTAAAAATTATTTATTAAATTAGCAACCTATGATCATAAAACCATTTAAAGCCTAATTAGTTAAAGTTGCCATAGATAAATGTAACAACAATGTTTCTTTGAGATCAACTGTTATATAAAAAATGTCTTGACCTCCGTCCTGGGAAAATCATTGAAATAAWAAATAAATAAATCTGTTTTAGTGTTAAACTTAAATCTGTCCTCTCATAGTCCCTGATGATGAAGAGAGGTTTTAAAAGTTTTAGAGAACGAGTACTGGCTCTATGGTGAACTTACAACTATTGAGTTCTGTGAATCAGCATCAGTGACGTAAGATGTTTTGACCTTAACGGCAACAAGTGAGAGAAAAAAACTTTGTATTCACAAGATTAATGTCTGCAATAAAAAGGCACTCGTCCTCACTGCAGTACTTCTGTTTATTGGCTTTCTTGAAAAAAAATTTAAGACAAACATAGAGCTGCAGCCAAGAAGCAAACTTTAAATCCCCCCACTTTATTATTTGAACAGAAAGAAAGCTATCACATTAGCAGCCCAAAAAAACTTTTGACAATAAAAAGTAAATAAAGTTCTTTTCACTGGTATTTTTTTAAGTTGGAAAAAAAATGTCTACATACCTTGTTTTCTCTCTCTTTTGGATGAACATAGATTTAAAAATATATTTTGTTATGTGACTG